TTTCGGAGTGTTCTATGGTCTGCTGGGGTAATAATATAGTGTAAAGCGCATAGAGCCTGCTGTTGAGCGGGGATATGCGCTATACAAATGCTATCTATTATTATTATTTAATGCAGGCCAGGGTGTTTGTATGCCCTATCAAGGCAATCCGATCCTGCCTGTCCAAATCAAGGCCTGGCTGGGCTGAGAAGGATACAATGTCTCTGCAGAAGGATCAGGATATGCTTACTTGATAGCCCACCTGATAAGAATTTCTCTTCACTCTGGAAATCGAATTCGAACGACACCGAACCGAAACGCCTATCCGCTAGGCTACATCTCCGGCTACACCCGACACCCATAGATGTACACTAGCCTAGCCTAGGCCTTCTGGGTTTAAAAGTAAAAGGGGGTAGCGTAGGCCTAACTCAATGGCTACACCACAGACTCCTGTGCATTTAGTGTGATGTGTGGGGGAAAAAACTATCTTTTTAACAACATTGTTGAAATGGACCTGGCATACAGAAAGTGAAAGTTTTACGTTTGTGACTTGTGAAAACACGAAGGTCCACCCACAGTCCACAGCTCAAGACTAGCTTTTAGGCCTAATTAGAGTATCTAAATCTAAGGCCCTAGTGTCTGCCGTTTTTTTTAAATATTGGTTCTTTTTATATTATGTATTACATGTATTTGTTTGCCTGTGTAGATCTACCCGTAGCGGGAAAAGTATAGATTCTAGATCTATCGACTATTGTAAGTAGCCTATTTTCTTTAGTCGAGACCTGTATCATTTCATTTTGAGTCGTGGCAAGGGGCCAGCCAGGGGCTGGAAAATATTCTCGTTTGCTGATTGCTATCGGCTCGAAAGGCTTGTGCTGGATCTACACTTCTCGATAGCCTAGCCTAATTATATGCCATGAGACTCTTTATACCTTCTGTGTTACGTCATTTGGTGGAATCCATTGTAGAAATGAAACCCACAATGTCTCCAGAAGTAGATCTACTACTATTATCTCTGGGGAGACCAAACAGTGACGAACAACAGGTAAGGACTCCAAGTTAGTTAGGCCTAGATCTAGAGATATATAGTCTAGTCTAGATTAGATAATCTAGATATAGATATAGATCTAGATCTAGCCCTAATGTACTAGAAAGTGGCTATTCTCACCCCCCGGAAGTTCTCGCAAGATCAACTCCTCCCCTCTTCTTTCTCTCTCTGTCTCTTTCTGAATACTGTCTATCGGTGTGGACGATCAAATTGACCAAAACAAAGTTAAAAAATGATGTTAAAACACAAAAGTAAATAAATTTGGTTGCCTACAAAGATGCTACGGCTATTTAACTTTTCGAATCGAGCCGAACTACGCGGGTCGCCATTTTGTTTTGCCCGGAAATTCTCGCGCTACTCCTCTCTCTCTTTCTCTTTCTCTCTCTCCACTACCCACAGACAAAATTGTACGCTTTTAGTAGGCTACAGTTGTAATGGAACGTTTGTTCACGGCATAGAATTCTACAATTTTTCCTCACAGTGTAGAATTCTATGGTTTAGGGTGAACGCAAAATTTGGTGAACGCGCACCGGGTGAGAATAGCCACAAGACTCGCCTGCACTATTCTCACTCCGGGTGAGAATAGAGGTGGCCAATGTACTAATAGGCCTACTATAGATTCTAGATCTAGATCTAGATCTGTAAAAATAAACTTGTAATAATACCATGCTGTTTCTGACGTGACTCTGGAAAGAGGAGTTTTAGATTAGAACATTCAGCCTGTTCAAATTCCGCAATTAAAAGTAATTGATTTAATTATAGTGTTGAAAGCCTTTGAGCTATAGGCTAGATATTACACTGTAGTCAACAGTAGGGTCATACATTATTGTTCAAAGTGGGGATTCATCCTCTTATTATACCCCCCCCCCCCCCTCAATGATAAGCACCCCCCCCCAAAAAAAAACAACCCAACCCAACAACCCAGGTCTGTGCAACTAACTGAAGTTTTCTTTATGCCATTCCCAAAGGGGGGAGTATATTGTTAACATGTTCTTATGCACAGTATAATTGTAAATGGGCTGATTTATCAATGTCCTGCTCATACTATGACGGAACAACGTACGGTGAACTGCTGCTTTAATTTCTTTCCTCACCCTTACTAGAATCTATCGTCATTTTCCTTCTACTTCTTTTGTATGTTAGTCAGTCTCTTGTGAACTGTTATTTCCTGGGTGCCTTGATAGATCTAGTCGAAGCAGACTTTGTGCTGTACTGTTGAGGCTAGAGAAGTGAGCAGAGTAAGCCTGATTCCCGGTTTGGACTTCTCTGTTGACAACCACCCTTTGGCGCTCATATGACCTTATTATGTAGTTGCGAGTGCCTTAAAACCTTACTAAAGCTAACAATGATAAGCAGATACCAGGCCTATCAAAGAAATAAAATCACATATTTTGCGCCTTCAAAGAATGCAATGTTTGTTTTTGTGAACCTGTCATTCCTTCTCTTCTTCTAGCAGTACTACTGTACTCCAAGGTGAGAGGATATTATGAGAAGACAAGAAAACTTTTCAAATGTGCACGGGGTCTAACATCGAAAGTAGGTGTATTTATCAAGTTCGTAACCTAATAAACTAAGCTCTGTATTGACAGAAAATTGTAAAGCTTTATTGTAATGCCTACATACATGTATTTGACTGTCTCAAAGTTTACATCTGAGTAGGTGTGTGTCACAATTAGTGTTTCGTTTCACCGCAAAACAAGGATATTCAGCTACTGTAAATTCATTTTATTTATAATTTCAGATGGGGACTTATAGAGAACAAGTAGGTGGCAACGAAGAATTTATTTTAGAAGACAGTATACCCCAAAACACTGGCCACACAGAGACCAAAGAGGTTGTAAAAAAACAAGGATCACTGCTGAATGAAAACGTTTCAAGGGCAGATCTAGTTATCAACCTTGATGATAGTCCCAGATGTCGGCGTGCAGACGTGTGCTGTGTTGAGAAAGATGTAAATGCCAACTTTTTGTCACCCCACAGTCCAAATGAACGCTCATGTACAATTACGATGTCTCAAGAAAAACCACCTTTTACTCTAGAATGTTCCTCTCAGAACTCTACTCTCACAGAGTGTCATTCTCGAAGTTGTGAAACGCCAGTTTCAATGAAGAGTCTTGTGGGATCTTTACCACTCTACAGTCCAAACCAGTACCGGTAAGTCGCTAGTGGCAGACAAATCAAATAATAATAATTGTGTTATTGTGCTTGAAGGTGACAAATTTGTGTTTATTTCATTGTCCTATTTTTCTGTGTGCTCATCAAATTTTCCCAGAAATAACTTACACGTACCTTCCCACCCCTGTTGTAATAACTACTGAATATCATAGCCGTACCGCTTTTTGTAACTGATTATATATCCTCGCCCCTGCAGGTGGGGCCCCCCATCGTTTTCCTTTGAGGGAGCAAAGAATACACCTGCCGTGATACTACGTGTCGTAGGAGGCGACTGAAGGTGCGTGGGTCCGGTCACCCAAAAAGTGCCAGTTTTCGGAGGGCCAACTACCCGACCCTGTAAAAGCAGAAAGTTAGAGAAGCACGAACAAAAGTGTCTATTTATTTTTTTTATCTTGGGAGACAGAGGAGCTTCTGCATCAGCAGGAACAATGAAGGACAGTGGACAAAGCCGAAAGGACTCTCCTGTCCCAAAACCTTCTCTGTCAAACAAGTCTCTCCTGACTGCGTCGTGGAATGTTCGCACCATTTATGAAACAAGAAAGAGTTCTCAAGTGTTACAAGATAAAGAGATACAGGCTGCACATACTAGGAGTCAGCGAAAACCCCTGAATAGTCTGGACAGAAGCAGTTCTGCTTGGGGGAACAAATACATACTATTGTGTTCTGGAAAGGAAGACAAGCACCATGCGGAAGGGGTTGGAATCATTTTGAGTATGTATGCCCAGAAGTCACTAAAAGGGTGGGAACAACTGGGGGAGAGGGTCATTATTGCTTCACTAAAAGGAGCAAGAGCATCGACATGAATGTATAGTCCAGATCTACACCCTGACAAATGATGCTTCGGGTGAAGTCAAGGATGTCTTTTACAGCCGGCTCCAGGGGGTCATTGACAAACTACCGGTACCATTGAGTACCAAGGAAGGATGTCACTATCATGTATCATGGAGATGCCAATGTGACGGCAGACCTCCTCCTCCGACTGTTTACCAGGATCTGGAATGATAACAAGTTCCCAAAGGATTGGAAAGATGGGCACCTCGTGAAGCTTCTTAAAAAGGGGGATCTTAACAACTGCAGCAACTACAGAGGGATCTTTCTTCTCTCAATGCCAGGTAAGGTCTTCAACAGGCTCGACATCAAGACCGGTGTGAGACTGAGATGTTAACTACATGTATCACCTTTCCTCTTCATCCTGGCAATCGATTGGCTGATGAGGGAAACCACCAGATGGGACACAAAAATGGCATACAGTGGACCCCATGGATACCGTTGGACGATCTGGACTTTTCAGATGACTTGGCACTTCTGCCGTACATCTAGGAAACAGATGCAAACAAAGACCTCAGTTTTAAACAGCTGGTCAGAGCCTGTTAAATTGAGGATCCACCCAGGAAAGTCAAAGGTCTTTTAAGGATAATTAATACACAACGAAGGGAGCTCTGATCACAATAGAAGGAAATGTTCAGGAAGACGTCGACTCCTTCTGCTATCTCGAGAGTTTAATTGACAGAGAGGGGAGCAACAGGCACTGAAATATAAAGTCCCAAATCCGAAGGGCACAGGCTGCTGTCACATCTTTGAATAGGATTTGGAGGATGATCATCTGGCTGCTGGAACACGGCATCCAACTCAATCCACAGCAGGCCCTGACAAGCAGAGTGGATGCCTGTCTGCCTCTTAAATGAATTGATTTGTTTTTCCAACAAAAAAAAGGAGGGGGGGGGTATAGCACTCGCCATTTCACCATAATTAATTTTACAGTCTTTTCTAACCTCCCTGTCTTGCTTGTTCCAGCAGGCCTCAAACGCCATCTCTTGCCCCAGGTTTGGCGACTCCATTAGTTTTGAACTCCTTACAAACGTTACAGGAAGGGCGATCGCCGCATGAAGCCTTCCCCGACATACTGTATTGGATTGGTATAGAAAGATGAAGCATTTTCTTGTCGTTTGTCCTTTCAATGTATATTGATTGGTTCTTTTATTCCTTCTCGGTGTTTTGGGATTTGTTTAAATTTGTTGTTGTTGTTTTTTGTTTAATCTTTGTGAACAGTGAGTAAGTGAGCAGTGTTCCATATGACAGACGATAGAGTTTAAGTTCTGCATTGGGCTCTCTTTCATGCTATCATGTGATGTGATGAAGTGGGATTTGGCTAATTAGGTAGGACCTAAAGTGAATGTAAAAATAGATCTACATGTTTTCAGTTAAAATGGAAAATGAATTGCAGATTCACGTAAATAAAATTGCTTTAGTCATCAATCCATAATACGATGTTGTATTATTAAAATGTATTTATTCCAAGATGAAATTTTATGGACTGAAACAAGCTTTGAACTGGGATCTGTTGAGTAGCAACTAGGCGTTTCACCATCACACATTAAAAACATTAATAAATATTATGCTTGATTCCCATGTGGGGTCAGTCTGTTGGGATGTTGTAGTTGTACACCTGTCTCAGCCCAAGCTCGCCCAGACAGGCAAGGTTGAAGTAGCCCCCCCCCCCATCCCCTCCTACATGACATACAATGTGTCGATGGGGCCATTAATCATGTACAGTTACAGTTTTTATTACACCCTTTGCTGTTTGTTTTTTCCACAACAGAACAAGAGTCAAGTGGTACCCCTGTGCAAACAAAAACTGGGATTGCTGATATTAAAAACACAGGCATTGAAGGTGAGTGAGGGCCTTGACTCATTCGTCATAACATTTGTATTTGTAGTATGAATTATTGCTTTGTTCACTTTTTCTGATCGATATAAAATGTGTAAATGAGCTGCTTAATCTCTTCTAATCCCGTTCTTCCTATTTTAGCACTTTAGGATAATTTTGGATCGTTGCCTCTAGTGTATCAAGCCCCCTCTTATTACCTCCTCTTTTTCAGAATCGACAATGAATGATACAGAATTCCTCGAGCTTTTGATTGCATGGGGGAAAAAGGCACAGTCTGAGAGAAGCACATCAAGAGTTTTGTCAAGGGTGCAGGTCTGTTTCAGTTTCAGATTGCTTGTGAACATCCTTTTTTTCCCTGACGCTGCTAATTATGGCAAGTCAGTGTTTGCTGTGATTTATATGAAGGAGCCAAATGGGTGGGAAACTGTGAAAACTCTGTCCAGGCAACTCAAAACTCAAGAGCGAATAGAATACGGATTTGAATCCATACTTTGGCATCGTCGTCCAGGATTATATCAACTGAAGTGACATACATATATTATATAGTCTACCCAGTAAAATTTCTTCTCCAAAACTTTAGCAAAACTTTTCAAACTTCTGGTGGCAGTAACTAGTTTTCCAGTTGTTTTATCAAATAAGTCCCTTGAAAAAATCCCCAGAAACAAATCACAGCAAAGTAAAGGAGAAAAAGAAGGGAGAAGTCAAGCTCAAAGTAAGCATTAATATCACAATTTACATTAAACCCAGTCTCCCATCAAGCTTACCGTCCATTCTAAATTGAATACCAGTAGCAATGGACACTGTTCTGTCACAACAGACAATAGTTGATACTCTATGATACCTCAGAATTACAAAGATACCTGTATCTGCTCAATACTTAGTTTTGAGAATTTTGACGTCAAAGATTTGGAGTTTCACATCATGTCAAGCTTTTTCTAATGCAATTCTTTTAATATTTTGATAACGACGCTGAATAATCTTACGATTTTGATAGAGCAGACAGAGCATTTGGTTTCTGACCACATGGTCTTATTAGTAACTCAAAACAACGGCAAAAATGTCAGAGAACTTTATAATTCTGAGGCAGCATAGTGTTAAGGCTGTACTAGTCAACATCTTATGTCTGTGGTGACTGTGCATGTTGATGTAGCCAATGGAGCCAAGACGTTGGATAAAGCTGATAGCTGTTCAATTGTTTTAGTGGGGGGTTTTTGTTTGGTTTACAAGAGGTTCACTGACACAATAACGGTCGTTAAGTGTTGGGAAAAAATAAAAAAGATGGAGAGAAACTTCAGAGGGGGAAAAAAGGACGACAGACCTTTCAGTTCAACTGGGGATCGGAGAGCTTTTCAACATCCAAATAGCCAGTATACCCATACCATACTACGGTATATATATATATATACATATATATAGATATACCATTATAAGCTTTCTGTCCTCAGAAAAAAGAACAAAGCTTGAGAAGAAGAGACAAAAATGATGATCTACCACGTGCCACTAAGAAATGCCGCCATGCCAAGAGGATGACGGAAGACGAGGAGCAAGCCATCAAAAGGCTTCAGAAAGAACGGAAAAAAGAGCTCAAGGAAGAAAGGAGAAAGACCCTGCCACGGAGCGGTGTTCGAAAGGCAAGATCTTGTTATGATATATAGATATCTAGTAAAACTGAACTCTGTTGTTATAAGTTGTGAGTTTTAGTATTTCTTGTTATTGTTAGCCCCTCCTATGACTGAACCGCTCGCTGAATAGCTCCAGGTTGTACAAGAACTTACTGAAAATTCCTACGTCTTCTGCCATATTCTCTGATCCCAGCAACATTACGTCATCCTTTTTTTTTTCTCTTGCACAAGAAATATTTTTTTTCTCGAGCACGTCCAGATAATTACATGTATAGGAAACAGGCTGCTTTGACCTCTCACGTTCATTTCAGCTGAATACAGTACATGTACAGTAACATGTAATATCTTTTTCGTTTAGATTCCCTGTGTACGAGCTGAAGAGACACCACGGACAGGGGACCTTTGTATTGGGGCTATACATGCGTATTATGAGTGTATCATGACACAATGGAATCAAGCGCTCGTCATTTTAAAAAATAAATTTTGGTGGGCGTATGAAGTTATTGGGATCTTCTTAAAAGCTTGTTCATTTGCCTTGCCTTTGATGACAAAAATACACATCTATCTTGAATAGAAGTCAAGATAATTGCATTAGAAGGAATTGGGGGTTCTCTCATATCAAGAGACAAGGTTTAGCGACTTCCAAAGCCTGAGTGCCCTAAAAACTGCAAATTTACTCGTTTTTGAGCTTTTAATCAATTTTCAGTTTTAAAAAATCCACTCAGAAATGTGTTGTTACGTGGACATAAAAGGTGCTAAACTCCCTCCCCTATCTAAAAAATAAATTCGATAAAAAATTTCCAAAGAGCGGAGCATCGGATTCTTCGTTTTCATTACTTTGACGAGCACCTGATTTCATAACGATGCTCTTGATAAAAAAAACAACCAGTTCCTACACCGTCATCAACCCCCTAAATAAAAAATGGTCAGTGGTGTTGTTTTGAGAAAATCAAAGGAAAAGGACAGCCCCCAAATTAGAACCATGATTTGGCTGTTGCAGGCGGAGGGGTTCAGTTAAAAACAAGTCAGAAATGAGGAAACACAATGAAACAGCAGTACCGTTACATTGCAAGGTGCCAAAAATTTCTTTGTACCATTAGAATTTAAATATTCGGTTTTATCAGGAAAATCCCAGAATCTGTTCTGGGAAATTGTGAGATGCTCGTTGCTAACACAATGTTTGTCACAAGAACCGGATCCCATCAGTCATCCTTGTACATGTATTGACAATTTCACTGTATTCCTCTCTTCTTACAGAGTTGCAGGTTGAGCAGTAGCGTTGATGCCAAACATTTCTGACTGGGACAAAAAGCGCTTCTCTCAAGCTCCTTACACAAACCTGTTGTGATGCTCATGAACAGAACTTTATGAGCAAGAGGTGGACACAAACTTACAGTTACAGGGGTTTTTTTTAATTTCTTTTCAATTTAATTTTTTTTTAAACATTTTTCTTAAATGTCACTATTTGACTGATTCTAAAGTTAAAATATTGATGCAAAAGGTCTCATGAAAGGGAAAGCCTCCACAATAAAGCCATCTTACTTTGCTTTCAACAACTTGGGATGACTTGCGTTGCTTCGTGTGCATGTACTTGGCTTCTGAAAAGTTCTGAGATTTAGGGTTTTTTTCATGTGTGTGTGTGTGTGTGTGTGGGGGGGGGGGGGGGGGTCCTTTGAATTTAAGTGAAACTCACAACGAAATCTTCAGGCCCAAACTTCAAGTTTGTTAAATCTGAGTTTATGCTAAAAGCAGGATGTGACCAGTTTTTAATTGATGACAATGGGGACATTTCTGACCATGTCATGTTGTATGTAAGAAAGGAACGAACCAATGGCGCCCCCACAAAAATGCTTGCTTACAAGCTTATAATCGGTTGCTTCCTTCGGCACAGCCCTTATCAATAGGATGAGGCTTGTCTAGATTTTGCTGGGGGGGGGGTTGTGTGCGTGAAATGCCAGATCCACGTATCAGGACTGACCAGATCTTAGCAGGGTTTCATCATGATCATGACTTCAGGAACAGGCGTTCCTTGTCTTTTGAGTTTACTCAGTTGCTTTTGCTAAAACAAAATATTAACTGAGAATTTCACTGCCCTCCGCCTTATTATTTTTTTTTTACCTCTCAAGTACAGAGCAATTTAGTTAAAAACAACAAAAGCCATTTTTGCTCTCGTTACACACTGCTATAGCGAATATAATGTCCTAGACTACTGTTGAAAACTTAACAACAGTAATGCTACAGTCTGAAGGTATTAGTTTCAGACGAGAGGCATTTTCTTTTCTTTGATGCCATACCTAATGTGCTCTAGACTATGGTTAACGTTAAAAATTGAAATGGTAGTGCAGAAAGCGTTGGACTGTGCTGAAATGCACGTTGTATAAAAAGACCAGTATATACAAATGCACACCTGTTTCGTATATGACGTATTGTTTGCCAAGCAAGTTGCTTTGCAATTTACAGCACAGCATACGACAACATTTGGTTGGTTCCACAAACCAGCACACAACCCTTCACATATATCTATGCCTAACCTATCACTGTTTGGTAACCCTGGAGAAAAAAATGACCATTACACGTCAGCCTTTCTCTGCTGACAGTCCATGTTCGGAATGCTTTTGCTCCCCTACTCAGTCACACATAGCAGTAGGCTACTGGCTACACATCCCACTTTCGATTTCACAACTAGAGAACTCTGATAAAAGGCTAGCTACGTCTGACAACATAATGCAGAAGCTTGCCATAAATCTAAGAACAGAAAGAAAGAAGTCTGAAAAGAGGTTTTTAGTTTCAGTTTCAGTAGGCATTTTACGCCACTTGCAACACAATTAAAGGTTAAATAAGTACCGTAGTGAAGATTAGAGAGTAACAAACACAGAATTGATAAGGACGAAAGATATTTGATAGGAACAAACCACACCAGAGCATATGCCAACCACTCATTTAAAAGGGGGGTGCACATGAACAAAACTACCATCAAGAATTAAAATCAAAATTAAACAGACATACAAATGACAATTTTAATGTGCTGCGACGTTGTGGAATCAGGTGCTTGTCAATTTTTTGACATGTGTACATGTAGTAATTGTATCATATTAAAGTTTGTACATTTTTCTCGCTATTGACTTTTTAAAAAATGCCCATCTATCTTGAATACAAATCGAGATATTTGTAATTGAAAGAAGTGAGGTCATTTGGTGTCAGAGGTAAACTTAGCGAGAAAATGGCCGCAAAAGTTTGGTGACTTCCAAAGCTTGAGTATCCTTGGAAAAACTGCACATGTACAATTTTTGTGCCTTTGTCAATGTTTTTCAATGAAACCCACACAGAAATGTTTTTAAAGGACATAACCGTAAAAAGTATAAAAGTAAAAGTGTATTTCATTATTTTGACGAGCACCTGATTCCACCACACTGCCTCACATATAATCATTAAATAGGAACACATTGTTCAAATTCAAACCACAAAATGGAAAAAAAGTATCTTGTGAATGTGAGTGTGAGAAATTTATTAATAATTTCATACATGACAGTCTCATCTATTGTGACTAATATACCCAGCACACAGATCAGCTCATTTTCCCGCCATCAGTCCCATAGAACAACCACACACATAAGAACTTGCACTTTCTTTCACTCACATGCTCTCAGACATTTTCTTAGAAGGACTCTGTACACCCTGAACACAGGAACTAAAAGTAATGCAACATTCTCACATGACTCATTTTCTCACTAAGACACACAACAGATTTCATTTGGACTTTAATGTTTTCACTCTCTTTTTTTCCTTGTAGAGCACTCTCTGCTGAACTGTAGAAAGAGACAAAAGAAAAAAATTAATTAACATATTACCTCTATGACTTGAGTGTTGTATTGTAAAGATTTAATGCCTCTTTGAATGTTGAAAGGTTTAATTCATTTCTTACCACTCATAAAATTCTCCATTTCAAGTGTTACTTGTGATTTATGAAGGCTCCTTTTTTCTTTCTTTCCATTTCTTTTTAAAAACAGTTTTTCCATTCAATCTTTCATTTTTCCTGATTATACAGTCACAACAATAACCAGTCACTACTAATACCAAAATGCATTCATCTATGGACATTCCTTCGAAACAGAATCTTAAATGATTGAGAAATAAATGTAGAGTCTAGCACGCACATTGCAAACACACACATTTTCTTTCTCCCTGCTCTAAACAAAAATTTAACAATTCAAAAAAAAAATCTCTATTCCACCTCCAGTACATAAATAAAATGTTACAGAGTTTGGGATCTCTAGAGATAGGATTACCAGAGTATAATCAAAAGCTATGCTGTAGCACTACAGACAAATGGTTTACTAGTGAACCAGTGTTTCACAACTAAAACTAAACATGTAAAAGTCTGTCCCCGTGGTTTTATGCAACCCGCATAATTTAGCAAAATTTGATCTTTTTTTTTAAAAATAGTTAATTTAGGATTATTTTCCTTTATCATTCTTTGTTAAAAATAACAGAATCGCATAATTTCACATTTTTGGGCTCAGTTTGCATAATTTCACAAGTTGTTTTGCATAAAATTAAAACCACGGGGACAGAAAAGTACCATGGACTACAAATTCTAGCAGTAACATTATGCATCCAGCTGGCAGCCGGTAAAATTTTCAAGGATGTCAAAGCTCTTGAGAGACTAGACCAACAATATTCTCCTGCATGACACAACCCACAGAGAAAGCAGGAAACAAAAAACACACAGGCTTAAAATAAAATCTAAAACAAAGACTTACCAAACGGATCAAAATATAAAAACTCCAATTTCTCAGCTGTTTTTGGTCGCGTTCTGAAGAGCCTGTGTCCTGTGCCTGCTAAACTCTCCATCAAGACCACAACCACCCTGAAAGAGACAGACATTATAACTATCTATATCTATGTCATTTTAGGAGAAGAGAGAAATGTGAAATTCAATTTCAAGCTTACCACAGAAGACAGTAACAGAAACAATCCAGCCTTAAAGCAAATATCAGTGACATAATATTTATTGTAGTGGGCGACCAGACTCATATTGTCAGATTGCGGGTTCGGGGGATCAAGGCTAAGCTCAGTCCGATGTTGTGTCCCTGGGAAAGGCACTTTACTTTACTCAAATTTTCCAATTTGGCTCAGTCCAATCTGAGGTGGATATTTAGATTTTTTGGGACACATACACAATGCCAGTGAATGATAACCCTCTTCCACTTTTCACCCACAAGAGTAAAAATTTAAACCCGCCTATTATTTAATTAATGCATGGCTTCCATCATGCCTGTGGGATGCAAACAGTTAGAAGACACTAATGTATAATCCAGACTAGTCTAGTAGAAAGATCATTTTTCTCTACTCTATTCATAATTTATTTATGCTAAATTATGCCCGTAATGTGACAGAGAGACAGTCGAGGTGGCAGAGTCTGAGTGTAGGTCAACTAGCTCTCTATGATACGCCAAAATAAAAAGTGTAAGCCAAGGATGTGTTTATTTCATTGGATACATCATACAAGTGTTCAGCGGTAGATTTACCCTGCACACGTCAGTAGCATATATGAGGAGTCTGAGTCACATGAAAGCACATCCAGTATTGCCAACATGTATTCATGCACTTCCTCTTCATCAACAGAGGTTACACATTGTGCAACAGTTTGTCTGTGTTCAGCAAAGTTATGTCAAGAAAGTTGTAGTATAAAGTGGGTACCATGGCAGAGCAAAAGAAGTAGAAAGACATCTTCAGTTGAAGAAAGACAGCTTTTTCAGCACAGGCGAATAGAAAATCATGTCAGAAACCAAAATCTGAAAATCAAGCAACAATGAACCCAACAAGCATGTTGCCATGGCATAGGGGATATTTTACCCAATTGTCCAACTTTGTTTTTCTCACTTGATATAGCCTGAAATTCGAACATAGCACATTTTGTACATTTATGCATGCTAGCCTGAACTTATTTCAACTCACTGAAAATATAATAAGGGTATAAAAACTGTTCTACTAAACAGTTCTGAACATCCAAAGTCAAAGTTCATGATTCTAGCAGGCCTGCATCTGTGGACAACTTTTTCTTTCATCAAGTCCTCTAACTTGACCCCGAGTGGGCATATATTTTATTAACAACTGGCTGAAATGAAAGACATGTTTGATTCATGGGAGTTAATTAAATGACCTCTATTCTTTAACTTTAAAACCTCAAAAGAGTCCTGTACTGTATGGTAGCTGATTACCAAGTATATTTTGTCAGAAGTATGGCTTTTCATAGGTTTGAAAAACTTCCGATCAGCAGATCAATTCACAAGCCTTGGCTTTTCCTCACAAGATGTTCAGTGCTATAGAATCTATACATATACATCTGTTTAAAAAATTTTAAAGGCAGAAAAAATACATGGTACTGGTACTGAGGTCTCCATTCTTGGAATCTATCAAATTTGTGGACTTCAAAGGTAGCAAGCTTTCCTTAATTTTACATTATCATTACCATTGCAACCACAAAGTAAAACATCCAAAAGCTTTGTTTTTCATTTCTTATTGTCCATGACAAAACTGCACACATAGAATATATATATCATGTATAAAAGAAAATTAGTATCACTGCACTAGAATTCAAAATTCAAAATGAGCATACTTAGCGGCTGCCGAAGACATTCCACTGCCTTATTTGAGTCTCAATCTGTCAGAAAAAACAAAAGGAACATCATAAAGTGTGTTGGTAACAGTATTTTAACGAAAGCATTTTCGCACTTGTGCATTGGTCCAGGTCAACGTGCACATTATAAGTGACATCAGTCTCACAAGCTGAGCATACTGAACACAAAAAGACTGACATCTGTGTCGTAGCACTGAAACGCTTCGATGTCGCATGCAGGAGACCCAAGTATTCGATTCCCCAGTGAGGAGACATTTTTATTGAGTATCTCGGTTTTTCTGCTAAAATGTTATTATCCTTCTCTGCCCAGGTTGGCCTGGACTGGCCATCTGAATTGTGTCGAAGGGGACAAAAATCCACCTATATATCTATATTTTTAAAAAAGAAATTTTTAATCACAAAAAGGACTAGATTTTGTTCACGATTTTCTTTTGCCTCTTATCTTTACCGCTTAATAAATAACCAATATCAATAACCTAAAAAAACCCACTGACGGCTTCAAAGGTCCTATTGATTACTGGCAATAACTCTCTTTTCCTGACAAAATTCCTAGTTGTGTGATGGGGACTAAGGAAGGATACACACACATTCCAGTGCCAGTGAGTTACCAAGAAAGCGTAATGTTGGATTTTCAGTCAAGCGAAGTACTGTTACTGTGCAATTTATGTATGTCCACACAACAACTGGCGTAACGTGTAGAGAAAGATTAAGACCGATAGAAACAAAAGAAGAAAAGGAAGAAGTAGGACCTACTAGAGCGCCTTCCAACTAAACTACCAACAGGGTATACCATGTCAAACATAGTCCTACCCCAATATGCAGACTGCAGACAGTTGAGCTAGGCTTCGCACGCTGTCTCCTGGCTAAAACCCTGTTGGTGGCTGTGTCTGAAAATGCAACCTTTGCTTTAGCTTTAATATTATGTGTGATGTTACTACTAGAATCTTTAATAAAATGCTTGTTCATGCCCTTAAGGCCACGTCTTGGTTCTTGTGGCTGTAACATTGAGCCATACAACATCATAAAGTGTAAACCCAATTGACCTTGACCAGACATCCTTCCTTAAAATCTTTTATCAGAGAGACTTCCAAATTCCAATTATTTGAAGAAAAAAAAGGTGTAAAAACACTAAAATTATAGCAGCTCATTACAGCATGTGGATAAAACACAAACTAGGGCACTCTTCAGGAGAAGTGGTCCTGGCCTAACTCCATAGAAATTTATACAATCGGAAACAAAAACGGAAGTCGAGTAAAAAAGCTGACAGAGTTGCCAGGGTGAAAATTGTCACTCATTTTGTCACTCATTCATAAGATCACTTTGTTATTTCCTTAAAAGTATTTGAGTATTGATGACAGTCATAATTACAGCACTTTAACACTGTAGTTGTACGGTAACTTAAGTTTTTTATTCTATACTTTCAAATTGGTGGTGTAGAGATAGTCCCTCTAAAATGTCAATTCAGCTGGTGGTGTTCAATATATTGTATTTCTTCCTTTTTGTATGCAAATCAAAGCAAATTACTCTGTAAAATTTCAAAAACGAATGTTCTTTCATTTAAAACAATTGAAAAATGAAGTTCAATTCCATACAATCAATAATCATTCATCCTCTCTTTTTGAGAGTGTCACTGTCTGTGATGATAACTTCCATCATGCAGGGCATAGTCGAGGCGGGGTGAGCGGGAGACATACTGGCATGCTTCCGAAAAGACCACTGGTAAATTTATAGGACCTGAATCTAATAGGTCCAAATCCATTTTAGACTATTTTTACGGCTCTATTTTAACGTTTTTTAGTGTGCTGAGAAGAATTTTGGCACTAAAAACTGTCACAATCTATCAACTGGTGTGCATTCTCTGTAGATAGGCGGATGGCGCAGCGCTTTTTGTGGATCCATAGAATGCCCAACAATTAGCCGCCTACTAGTCTAGATCTAGATCTATATAAATCAACAAAAAATAACTTTTCAAAGACTGCTCACAGTCACAGCAGAATCATATGTTCCTTGACGTTGGGCAGTCGGGGCTATAAAACTAGCATCTGCGTTTGTTGCCAATTTTTTGGCCAAAAGTTGCCATTAATTTTCAAGCTTTCAACTCTCTGTGAAAATGTATTATATAGCATGTTGTTAGAGGTAACTTAATCTAAAGCACCAGAATTTCTTGTGTTCTGTTTTAAGCAACCAGAATATCATTTGTAGTTGTAGCCAAACAGGACGTAAAATGTGAAAAATAAAGGTATCAGAACAGAATGAAATCCAAATTAGAACAGCACACAAACAACCACTAAAATTAACAAATAAAATATCCGAAGATTGGCCGTTTTAACCCTAAACGAGTGTAATTTTTTTAAAAGTACAGGATATTACTTACACTACAACAAGGGGTCTGTCAGTGTCAGAATTTAGTTTGGTAGAGACACGCACCCTCTAGCATTTATAACACATTTGTATTTTTTAAAAAGATGGGAACAACATCAAATTAAATGACATACGCTATATAAACTGAAAAATCAAAAAGAGAAAAAAGAACACATCAGAACAATAACAAGGAAAATTGAAACACAATAAAGAGGGACAAATTAAAGGGAACCAGCAATACATCAATACATCTAGTATGTAAGGTAGGCTACTCATTCTACACGAAATTTCTTTGAAAATTACAAATCAAAGTGGTGTCAACATGTGAGAAAGACACGAAGTGAAGAGGAAGTGAAAGTGAACTGTCTAGTTTTTCTTTCTAAAAGTAAAGTTAATGAGGTTCGGTTCATTTTTTGCTTTTTTGCATGCTTTCATTTTTTTGTTTCTCGATTTTTATTCTCCGGGGTTTGGTTTTCTGTTTTTTATTCCCAAGCGGTGTTTTTTTTCTATTTTCTTTCTTTTTTTCTATTTTTTGGGGGGGAAAAAGGCAAAAATCGCGGCTGCGATTCGCGGACCAAAATTTGCCAAAAATAGCGGCCGCGATTCGTGGTTCCCGGCAAACGCAGAGATGCTAGATCTAATCTAGATAAAACAGGAACCTTGTTGAACCGCCAGCCCCGCTGTTCCGCCAGCTTTATATGAATGACTTATACTTATAATGACTTTAAATCATATAGATCTAGATCTAGATCTAGATCTATGACTATGATGATGCTCCGCGGCGTAAAGAAAGAAGGGTGGTGGTAGATCTATTTCTCTTCTGAGGTTTGACTGACCCGTATTATTTATCTACAAACAAACTGCACAAGACTACAATACCAAACACGTGACAAGTGAAATCCTTTCACTGTCAAATCGACTCGATATCACTCTAGCAACACCAGTAGATCTACTAACGAGTAGGCTAGGTGCTCTCACTCTTCGTCTCTCGACTCTCATCTCTGAATCTAGAATTCTAAAAGTTCTAGCTAACCAATTACCACGCCCACTTACTGCTCGTCAAATTCAAATGAGACGTTTCAGAAGTTTTCGTTTGACGCCTGGTCAAATCAGAGATAGAAGCATGCCGAAGACAAGAGCTGTTTGATTTCTTTCGTGCTGCAAAGCCAATACTAAAGAACGAAGTCTACTTTCGTTTCCGCTGTCTAAGTTTGTGTGATCGTCAAGGGCATGCCTGAATTGCTTCCCATTTCCCATTTGGCACTTCCGGTTTTAATAATTATTCGAGTTTAACAGAATATAATAATATCGCAGAACAGCTCTGCAAACACAGTGATTTCAATCGCAGATTTCGTTGTTGTTGTTTTGTTTTTTAATAGTAGGGCCTACATTCTGCTGAGGAATAGACCTACTATGAATCACGTCTCGAAAAACAGTAGTCCATATTTAAACAGTTATAATTAAATAGATTCTGCGCCTGCCTACCTAGAATTCTGTGATTTGACGCTATACAGTATACATGTACTATACAAGAGTGTTTACACAGTAATACACATGAGTGCTACGTTTTTTTCCTCCCCTTGTCGGCCTGACGTGGCCTTTGGAGAAAAGACCTTTGCGGGAAATTGGATCCCGCTTCTCGCACACGTTTTGCATACCTATTGCCAACATCACCGTTCTCCCCAAATGACACTTTTTACTGGTAAAATTTTAGCTTAGCCCATGCAAAAATGCAATCTCTTGGTAAATAACAAGCGAAACTGTAAATTAAAAGAATTTCTGCTCCTACTTTATACATGTACTATAGGCCTACTTCGTCTGAGGAGTACAAATGTAGCATTAACGTTAAGAGAGGAATCGTAGACAGGTATTGTGACGGGAAGGTGACATTCTTGACTTTACTTTATAAGATACCTGTACCTTTTATTTTAAGAACAAGAGTAACTATCGTTTTGACAACGCGGTGACAACAACAATGGTTGGATAAACGAGCAATAATAAGTGCGGTGTTCAGTGCGTGCAATTAGAGGCAGAAGATTCTAAAGTATAGTATATGTCTAGCAACCATTTATTTATATTAGCGTTTTCACTTAATTCGTTTAATCAAGAAACATTCGTTTACTACATAGAGATGGTGGTGTAGATATCTATCTATGCTTGTGTGTGTGTGTCTGTGGGGGGGGGGGCTCAAGCCTTTCAGCTTGTCACCATGCCCACTGTCAATAGATGCTGTTACTACATGTAGTGTTACTATCAATGTTACTGTGTGTTGCTGAAGCAAAGTTTAAACATTTGTAACATTAATTTATCCTATCACGGACGTGTGACTCCGAAAATATAGATCTAGAGGTATCTCCCCTTCGGGAATCGACGAACCGTTTCACCCATAGATTCTCTACAACAACACGATTTTTGGTTCACCTGCGTGCGACAGCGAGCCGCCTGCATGACCACTACTCCACCCACAGACGCCGGTCCAAAAAAACTGAGCTTGCCAAAAATGTTCCAGTAAAATAAACAGCTTGTAAAAACTGTTTGTGTATTCCACTGACATCTTCCTTAGTAGTAAGTTCAAGATACGCAATTACCATTCAAAAAAGAGTCAAAATAAATACTGTATGATGATGGTGTCGGTGGCCTAGTGGTTACGCTACCAGACTCGTAAGGTTGTGGGTTCGGGGGTTCGAGACTCAGGCCCGACGTTGTGTCCTTGGGAAAGGCACTTTTCATGAATTTCCCTCACTCCATCCAGGCGGGAATGGGTATCCAACCATAGACTGCAAATGATCTTGTCAGTATGTCAGTGGTTATTGTTTTAGCGCCTATAAATGGTAGCTCGCACTTTATGCTTCCCATAAAATATTGAGTATTGAGATTGTTTCAGAAAGCTATATAATAAGGTCTGCTGGGGTAGATTGTAAAGTGCATAGAGCTTGCTGTTGAGCGGGAATAAGCGCATGCAAATCATGATTACGGTGGATCACTTCTTGTGTATTCCTGGAAAAAGTTGAAGGTGGGAATCCCGAATGTGATGCACCGGGTACCGGTAGTAGCCTACCATTTCATAGACGTGTCTTAGATCTATTTATAAAATACTGTAAGTCAATTTTAACCTTCATGGCGATACCACTGGATAGTCTCGCTTTTTCTGTTTAGTATAGTTTTAGTAAGCTTTTTACTTTTCTAGTCTTAGTAAGAGTTTTACGGCACTTGCAACACAATAAGGTCATACATGTATATTATTATACATGTATAAATACAAACGCCGAAGAAAAGAGGTGTTACAAGAGTTACAGAGTAACATGCACAAAAAAGGAGAGATAAGGAAGATATATATAATTATAATGATGAGTTTGATAGGAAGGAAGGAGCAAACCACGCCAACCACCCTCAGCTTTTTTGTTTTAGTAGAGGTTTTACGGCGCTCGCAACTGCATAAGGTCATATGAGCGCGAGACGATTAGAGGTGTTACAAGAGAGTAACAAACATAAAGAAGAAGGGGAGATAAGGACGATAGATGTTTGATAGGAAAGAAGGAGCAAACCACACCAGAGCTTCCGCCAACCACCCTCTCAGCTTTTTACGGCATTAGGCAACAGAAATAGGTCTTATAAATGCCAATCAAAGATTAGAAATTAGAGGTGTTGCAAAAGAGTAACAAATACTAAACAGGAAGGAGGATGGTTAAAGGACGATAGATGTTTGAAAGGAAAGCTTCCGCGCTTTTTGTGTTGAATTCTGGATTCATGATAGTGGCACAAAGTAAGAACTATAGAAGAATTCCAACCGTTTATGGTTTCTTTTTCTGTGCTTGGAATCAGAAATCTACATCTTGGGTTTGCTCTTTATCGACACGACACACACAAACACACGTGACATATTACAGGGGGAACTCGGATTCAACGCAGTCATCGGGCCTGGCCTTCATCAATTTCCTGTCCCCGGGGTTTTATGCACCCTTCATAATTTAGCAAAATTTGGTCATTTTTTGCATAATTTCCGATTACTTTCCTTTATCATCCTTTGTTAAAATTAGCAGAAGCCAGCGCGTATAATTTCACATTTTTGGGCTCATTTTGCATAATTTCAGAATTTTTCTTGCATAAAACATAAAACGACGGGGACAGAATTTCTCTGAATATCAGGTTTTTATGTAGATAATTACAGGCACCGAGCAAGTACAAGTAATTATAATCTATTTTGTCCCCGTCATTTTATGCAAGAAAAATTCTGAAATTATGCAAACTGAACCCAAAAATGTGAAATTAGGAAGAAAAAAAAAAAAATCAAATTTGGCTAAATTATGCGGGGTGCATAAAACCACGGGTACAGTCTATTCGACTGTCTCAATCAAAGTAGAATTTGGTATCAAACGAGAGGCATAATATTCCTTTCTTTGATACCGAAGAAATGCAGGAAAATTCCTGGAAAATACACTGAACTGTACCACGCACACGCTGCGCAAAAGGGCGAATTCCGATCGTTCAAAGGCACGCCTGTGTCATCTATCATCATAATGAATCTATTATCTATTTGTGGTGGCCGAATTTTGCTATTCAAAAGGCTTTTTAAAGGCTGCATCGATCGACATGCGCTTTTCGCCAAAAGATTCTTTAAAATATTCTCCAGATCATGGCGCCCTTGGTTTTTTCAGTTTTGAGACAGTTTTGCTGCAAAAAGCTGCACTTCTTTATTTCGCCGATCGCTTTTGTAGGCCGACGCTTCTGTCTCTGTAATTTTAGAAAATTCCGGAAGCGATATTTCGCGGGGCGCATTTTGTTTTTAAGAGTATAGATCTTGACCTTCTAATTTTTTTCCTCTCTCAAGATTTATTGCCTCATTCCAGTAGAGTGTATATATAGTAGTAGGCCAATGACTTTTAGTTGATATTAAAGCACCGATCATTCCTTTCATCGAAAGGGGGCCCAGCTAATATTATATATTGTTTGACAAACAAGTTATGTTGCTGTGTAGAGTCTATCATCAGCATACGGCAACGTTTGATTTAAGTCAAGTGCGCAATTCATCACGTAGATCAGATCTCTCTCTCTCTGCCAAGATCAAGCCTATTATCATTGAAATAGAATTGATCAGTAGCAGGGAGAAAAAGTTACCGTGTCGCGTTTGTATATCTCTCTACCGACGTTCCACAGCCGGACCGCTTGTAGTTGTACTCCCCCCCCC